CTGCAAAGTGAAAAAATAGTTTGCATTCAACCCAGCAAGAGGAAGAGGAGAGGAAGGGGACATATCCCAATTGATAGAATAGACACTACTACCCTCGTTTGTTGGGATCAGGTCTACTAGGGGAATTTATAATTAGCTCAAATGTGCAAGAGTGAAGCCCTAAATACAGCTTCACTGGGCCAAAACCAAGTGTATACCAGAGTCCTAAGAAATCCCACCAGGGAGGATGCTGAGACAGGCTTATCCAATTAAAGTCTAAAATATTTATTGACACAATATGCATGCATCCAAATATAACACACACACACACACACACACACACAAAGGAAAGGTGGGTGAAAAGTGTGGATAGTTGAGAGGGACCTAGCTTTGAGGGATATAGTTATGTCCGAAGGACTTCTCAGGACTTGGCTACAAATGCGGATGATTTTCAGTGATAGAACACGGCCGCCAGAACGGAGGAGAGGGAAATGGCCACGGGAGCTAGCTCAGAGCAGAGACTGACATAGATAGCACATGGAGCTTAGAAATCCAGGAGTTCTTATAGGGAATTTCTGCCTTCTAGCTATAAGCCTAATGGATGTCGGACAAAGGCATTGATGGGTTTAGTATTGTTAACCTAGGTGTGAGCATAATGCATTTAGTTTCAAAACTATCAAAGAAGGGAGACTAGAGAAAAGAGTGCAGTCAAATCTGAGAAAAGAGTGCAGTCAAATCCCATTAAGTGTGAGACTTAAGACAAATAAACATCATTGTGTATCTTTTCCAGTATAATGGGACATTCCCTTGGGCAACTCCCAAACCTGTCTGTTAGGGAATTTTCCAGTGGTCTTGGGCAGGTCTCTCAGTGCCTACATGACCTGCCATCTAGGGGATTATGGCTGACATCCCTCAGAGATCAGTCTGGGGTCATAGAGGGAACTCCACATGTGTTCAAAATTTTATGAAAATGCACATATGCTAACACGTTGCTTGTAACAGCTGCGGACGGATTGGGAGACTTTCACAATTCCTATGTATTCCCTACACTATTGAATACATAGGGATCATGTATATGAACCAGTCATGAATGTGTAACTCCAGTTTATGAATTTGCAACTGCAATCTTGAATTCCAGCCAGTAATAGGATTTAGGCACCGAATTCCAAGGTTTTTCCACAGAAGATGTATGCCCAGACAACATCGTGGATACGTCTCACATGTATCACAAACCTCTGATGGGTAGCTGCATGTGCTAATGGGTGGTTGTACATGCCAAAAAAGGATTATTACAGCTCTTCCTGCTTGGTGACACATTTCAGTCCGGAGTAGTAGCATCTATGTTTGTAACATTTTAAAAACTTGCTTTTTAAAAAAAGATGTACCGTACAACTTTTAAAATAAAATAAAAAATCTTGAAAAAGCAGTGCTGAAATGTTTTCTTCTCTGGGAAGAGCTAAATGATCCTTCTCTTCTAGAAAGAAAAGCATTTTTTTAAAAAAAAACAAAAAACAAATGACTGGTTTTGGAAAGTGACAAACTGTTCCAAGCACATGCAAGTGTGACTACCACACTCCTTAACACCAGTGTGCTGACAATGTGTCTGGTGACACCTAAGACATAAGCAGGGGGTGTATCCTCCTCTCTCTCTTTCATTTCCTTTTGTCTCATAATGCCCAAAGCATCATCATTTGAGTAAGGGATTAATTCCTGACGAAAAGGCAAAATGAGTCCAATCTGTATAAACATAGCTTGTGAACTTTGTCATTTATCAAGATTTTGGGAAGTCTTGTTAAATGTATACAGCTGTTGCTTTCTTTGAGATTATAGGTGTCTCCTACATTTAGTCCATCAATTTCTGTAATGGTTTGGATGCATCACTGCATTAATATGCATAGAGAACCAGCATACAGTTATACCTCTGTTAATGAAGTAGGTGAGTTCCTGAGCATTACTTCTTAATTTGGCATCACAGGCAGCAATGCAGGGAAAGAATAGGGATGGGTTCCTACATCACACAGAAAATAATTCAGCCTGTTTTTATAGAATCATAGAGTTGGAAGAGACCCCAAGAGCCATCCAGTTCAACCCCCTGCCATGCAGGAACTCTCAATCAAAGCATCTCCCACAGATGGCCATCCAGCCTCTGTTTAAAGACCTCCAACGAAGGAGACTTCACCACTCTTTCACTGTTGAACAGCTTTTACTGTCAAGAAGTTCCTCCACACATGTGAAATAAAGCAACCAGGTCAGGTAAGCCTTGCCTAAGTACACAAAAGCATTTTGAACCTTCCAGAGACCACTTCAAGGCTTATTCCAAAATATACCCAGCCATCATTTCTTCCGATGTCCATTTTGTTTACTGTATATATTCGACTATAAGTCAATTTCATGTATAAGATGAGGATAGGTTTTGGGGACAAAATTATGGATTTTGATGTGACTTATACATGAGTATATACAGTACCTTGTCTATTATAGACAGGCACACATAATTGCAGTAGGATTGGATTCAATAAAATCCTGTTCTTTCTTAGCTGAAGTTTTTCTTGCATTGTTTATTGCAGACACATTGTTGTAATCTGATTTCACCATTCTCCCCATGTCAATACTGCTAAAAAAAACTTCCAGAAAGACAGAGGACAAGGAGGTAAACACTTTGTAAAAAGAAGCTTCTTTGCCTGATGCTTTATTAATTGGAGTATCCCTGCACTCCATTGAGACCTGGTGAGAGAAATGCTAGATGGAAAGCTGTAAGTGTACGTTACTGGCTGAAGTTAAGAGAAACTTTCCTCTTTAATGTTGTGATAAAAAATAATAGGCCAAATGGTGTAGAGGTTGACAGCTGTGTTGAAATACTATGCAATTTATTTATTGGTAAATAAACAGTCTTGGAAACAATTAGAAAACAAATTACACTGATAAATAGAGAGGTCCACAAAGTACTGTAGAAAATATCAATGGCAAAAGTAAATCCTTCTGGGCTTTAATCTAATCAGGCATGATTTATATGATCTGTAACAATATTACACATATTTTATTTATTGATAAATAAAATAGATTAATAAATAATAAATCAATAAATAATACATTAGTAAAATAATACATATTTTATTTATTAATATTTTATTTATTAAAATA